CTCTCTCTCTCTCTCTTTCTCTCTCTTTATCTCTCTCTCTCTCTCTCTCTCTCTCTCTCTTTAGCTACCCTGTATACACGTGCAGAATCGACGCGAATGCTCGACTCTGTCTAATCGCGAGAATGAGAAACAAAAGGATATGTTGGATATATATCTCTCTTGTGACACGATGTGTGTGATACATGCTCCTGCAAAAAGGAAAGGAAACACGAGGAACCCAGTCTATGCACGCACCGGTAAAAGTAGGCGAACGAATGTGAATTTAGAAAGAAGACGGGGGAGAAACGGCAAAAAAGAAACGTATGAAATTGGTGATGCCGAGGCGCATTATTTTCACTTGAAGTTGTTTCAGTCGTATGAAAAACGAAAATACGCGTGACGAGGAAAGTCCATCTCTCTCTCTCTCTCTCTCTCTCCTTCTCTGTCTCTTGGGAATCATCGTCGATCGATCGAACGAACGCGATAATTGATTTATTTAATCGTCTCGCCGTTACAAACTAGCCGATAAACAAATCAGTTCGGTTAATCGAATCGGATCGCCCGACAACGAATATACATAATTATACGTGTGTATATATTAATATACAAATTTATTTAATATTCATTAATATTACTCAATAAACATCGCTATATAATAAATTTATATACGTCATTATCTTATCGTTACTATTAATAAATATAGAGCAGAGGTGTGTGTGTGTGACGCGTGTGTCAGGCACGATTATTATCGTATTCGATTAACCAAACACGTGTTGCCGTGTTCATGCGCATCCCCCTTTTCATCTGATTGATCGATCGATCGATCGTCAGCGAACAAAACACCACCATCCTCCCCGATATTTCATTATTTTGGACGTTCTTCGTCGACCCTGTCCCTGTTTCTGTCACTCATCGCTCGCTAACGTGCTCCTCCTTTCTTCTCTTTCTTGTTTCTATCTCTTTACGAAGAAAAAAAGAAAAAAAAAATCCTTCGAATTGCCTGACTACGACCTCTCCTCTGCATATAAGATAATTCTGTTACCTCGTACGTACAAGCTGATACTCGAAAATTAGGGTTACGACTCGACCAAGTCAACGCGATTATTAAAGGAACGTCGTCTCGATTTTATTTGCTTCCTTTTTTTTTTTTTTCATTTTTTTTTTTCTTTTTCTTTTTAAACCAGTCTTTCGTTAGGCTCTCTGCTTCAGCTATTAGAGAAATTCTCACTTTCGACCGAGCGTCTTATCCCTTTCTCTCTTCGTTTCTTTCTCTCTCCCATGCTCGCTCGCTCGTTCTTTCTTCTCGCGCGCAGTGACACGGCACTTGAAAAAGTTTTATTGCGATAAAAGTGTTACAGTTAACGTGAGTGTCCATGCGTGTGTTTTCGAGCACTTCCGTTTCTCCGGTCGTCTCGACGATCGGCCGCCGGCTCGCCTCATTTCACTTCAAGTCCTCCATCGCGCCGTAATTCGCGAGAGATTTTTTAATCCTAAGCGCGGTTAGTCTAGCTGCCGCGTTGTGATACCAACACTCCTTCATGACCTTCGACATCACTTGCAATGCCTGAAAAGAAGATCAGAACAGCGCGTGAGTTGTCTAGCTGCTATAAAACT